ATTACTAATCATTGGCGGACTTTAAATACTAATTAACCTCACGTTGGACCAACCTCATGCTGGTCCCTCACAATTATGCATGAAAAATCGTAGATCCCCAAATTACCGTTATTTAGATTCTCTCTTTGTATAAGATGTTTGTTTCATTCGTACGCTCTCTATCACGTCGAGGAACTCATGTTCCAGTTTTTCGTTTTAGCACATACAGTGCCTTACGCAATAGCGGTATGCGATTACGATCTTTTGTATTTAAATTTACTAAATATTTTAAATAAGTAACTTTTAATTACACTTGGCGACAAAGAAAAATCAGATGCTCCTAATTATGAAAATATTTTAACGGAAAGTCATGATAAAGTTGGATTAATCACACTGAATCGTCCAAAAGCTTTAAATGCATTATCCAGTGATTTATTTCATGAAGTTAATGATGCTCTGAATAAGTTTGATAATGATTCGAGTATTGGAGCTATTGTCATTACCGGAAATGAACGTGTTTTTTCGGGTTTGTTTTTTTTGTTTTTTTTTAATAATTACTATCAAAACAAAAACATCTGACCCCTTGGAACCATCATTATTGTTCTAAAGAAAAAAAAAAACTATATATTGTTATTGACTTTGTTTTGTGATAATGATGTGATAAATTAAACATTCAAATGTTAAATGGCGTAGAGCGCTGCGTTCAGTACCGGGTATATGTAAATCAAGAACACTTGATTTGTACCCAGAGGGTACTGTGTTAAGAGGAGGGTATTTTGAACCGATCTTTAGACAAATGTTCATTTTTATTGGACATTACTAGTCTTGCGAGCCTAATTTATACCTGGGTATAAGTCAGAATTTTGCGCGATGACATTGAGATATACCCGTCATTAGTCTGGAGGTACTGAATGCGCGCCCTACAGTACATACAAGTTGAGTCATCATCGCTGTTAAGTGTCTCTATCAATGACTATAATTTTGTTCTTCGATGTCATCAAGTAGTTATGATTTTCGAATCTTTTGTGTATTTTAAGACTTAGTATTGTGGGTTAAACTTTTACATCGGTGAAACTTATTTTGCTCAAACGAATTTCAAAAAACATTTAACCCTATATAATATCATTATACGGTAGCTTAGGAGACAAATTTCCTCGTTACAAGGTCAATAATGATATAGAAAGTCAATAACGATGAGTTAACGATGAATTAAAGAGGTCAAGATCAATAGTTTTCGTTATTAAATGTCTGGATTTTTGATCATTATTCTTTTACATTTATTTTAAAAGCTGGAGCCGACATCAAAGAAATGTCTGATCAAACGTTTTCTAAATCTTATGTAACAAATTTCCTTGGTCATTGGGGGGAGATTAATAATGTCAAAAAACCTGTCATTGCTGCTGTCAATGGATTCGCGGTATTGTGATTCTGATTTTTAACAATGATTTTTGCATTCTTCTGGTTGAATAATTTTGTTCTTGAATAACCATACCTTTATTATATGTATTTTCTGAACAGTTGGGAGGTGGGTGCACCGGTAACTGTTATAGAAATCGAATTGGAGTTGAAAGTATAAGACATTTATTATCAAAAATCAGCGTGATGGGCACACTAGTGAAATACTTAATGCTGGTTATGGTTATGATGAAACAATTGGAATTGAAAGGGATGAACATAAAATGAGGCACGCTAGTGGATATATGCGCTGATAATTGCTATAGAAATGGAATTGGAGTTGAAAAGCATAAACATTTATTATCAAAATCAGTAGTAATGGGCATGCTAGTAAAACACATAATGCTGGTTATTGTTACTGTATAATGAAAGAATTGGAATTGAAAAGGAGTACCGATAACTGTTATAGAAATAGAATTGAAGTTAAAATGCATACGACATTTATTATTATACATCAGTAGTGATGGGGCACGCTAGTGAAATATATACTGCTGGTTATGTTATTATGAAAGAATTGGAATTGAAAAGGATTAGCATAAAATGAGGCACGCTAGTGGAATATATACACTGGTAACTGTTATAGAAATGGAATTTGTATTATAAAGCATAACATAGTTATTATCAAAAATCAGTAGTGATGAGCACACTAGTGGAATACATAATGTTATGATGAAACAATTGAAATTGAAAAGAATTATCATAAAGCATTTATTTATTATCAAAAATCCTAATATAGGTTTATATACATTAGTGTAAATAGGAGACTAGCACTAGAAATAGATTCGGCTTACTGGGTTCTATTTGAAAATTTTTTTCTCCGTCTTTTTTAATAATAAGGTAATAAGGCAAAAAGGTATCAGTTATGATTACTTTATTAAAAAATCAAATTATAATGATAACCAACTTATTTTTCTTAATTTCATTTAGCATTTAATTAATAGTTTAATCATTTTTATACATTTATTAGATACAAAATACTTTCAAGTTTGATATATTATTATATTGAGGTTATTATCATTACTTTTATTTAATTCTACAGGATCTTAGAAGGTATGGAAATTAATTTTTAATGTTAAGTTGATTTAAAATATAAACTTTAATATCATTCTTTAAACATTATTTGTATTCATATTTTGTAGGTTTATGTTAGTACAGTTTTATGAACTAGCTACTTGTTTTACTCATTTTTATTGCGGTGGTTTCTTCAATATGTCATAACACGTTCCTTAGTCCAATCTGATTCAATATCTTGAAGCTTATAGAGAACATCATATAGTAATTGATCATCATCAGAAAAGGTAGTATGAATTAGCAATCAAGAAAGAATTTCTTTTGCATTGTTGCTTGTTGTTCTATGTATGCGTTTAGTGAAAGGTAATTTCATTTCATCACTAATAGTTTTATCATTATTTCCACTATTTTTATCAATAATATTAATTTTTTTTCTTTTCTTTTTATCGTTATTATTTGACAGACTTGACAATTTATATACATTTACATTGCAACTTCTTTGGCCCTTGACATCTTTTTTCTCAGTTTTTAATATTTCTTGATTATAGATTAGGTTTAATTTTTCTATACCTTTTGCATAACACATTGCAATTAGAAGAAATCCCGTTTTATTTATTTCTTTTGAATCCTTAAAAAGTTCGTGAATTGTTGGATCGGATAGTTGAAATGCAGTAGTTAATTTATCAGCAAGTTTCCATACTACTTCTTTATAGGACTGTACATTACGATCTTCATTAATTGTAATTATGTCTCCTATATATTTTGATAAAAGTGCTTGTATTCTATCTCTTTCAGATTGAGCAGATGATATGTGTAGCTTAAGTTGTTCATTGTCCATTATGTTGGTTTTAATGTATTGTTTAATAAATTTTACTCCCAAAACTTCTAATGCTTCATCAAGTGCATAATAATGACCAGGACGTGTCAGATTTATTGAACATACCTGACGAAGTAATTGTTGTAATTGAGGATCTTTATAAACTTGAGATAAAAAATGAGTTGACGATCGTCTATAATTACTTTTACCACAAACTAAAAAAAGAGGTGCAAATGCTGAAAGCAAATGAAATTGTAAATCATAATTGGCTCTTCTTATTCCTATTTTGTGATTAATTATATAACCCATCCAACAAAAATATAAAAGCCAAACTTTTATAATATCATTGTTTTTTTCAATATCACTTATATTTTTATTTGTATTTTTTAAATGCTTTGTTAACGCAATTCCTATAGCCATCCAAATAAGTTCTAATACATG